TACGTAGAAGTCTAAAGATATCGAAAACATCCATCAATATGACACTGGACAAATGAATTAGCCCTCAATTATACAAATGAAACATATGCAGCTACTTAAAAAAAATGAGGTATATCAAAATATACAGACATAGAGTTATCTTCAAGAAAAAAAAAGTCAAAAATAGTCTAGAATAGCAAATATAGTGTGTTATTACTGCTCCAAAAAAGTGTATACATATAAGGGTGTCTGCACAGAAGTCTCTGGTAGGATTCACAAAAAGTATGATAGGGGTTGACTGAGAATGAGAGAGGGATGTAGGGCACTGGGTGGAAACAAGACTGATCTTGTACTGTGTTCACTTTTATACCCTTTTAGTGTTTATCTTCTGTATGGATTACTTTTCCTTGGCCAAGCAATGCAACAGTTTAAATTGGTCAGTCAATGGATGGGAAGAAATTCAGAACTACCTATGTGGATTGAAAAGTCGAATAGAAATGGTTGTCTTCCAAGTGTTGAAGTGCTTATTTGCTGCAGCAGGTGGCAGTACTAATACACGATTTGACTTTATTATTGGACCCTGCAGAAATGTCGGGGGGGAAAAGGGTTAAACGAGCACTCTGGAAATAATTGGAAACTGAGGCTCTGTGCTTTAGGTCTTCTGGTCTAAAGGGAACAGTTGAATTCTATTTAGATGTATTACTTGTTTTTTTGGAATTTTTTGCTGAAAGGAAACTTGGCAATCATTATGTCCAAGATCCTGTTTTATTCTCACGTATTTGAGGCCAAAGAAGAAAAGTGAATTAGCTGACTATCTAGCAGGTACTTTGTAGCAGATCCAGGCAGAACCCAGGCCTCTCAATTGTTTTTGCCAAAAAAAAGATAGTGTGACTGATGTTGCCAATCAACTTGATTGTTGCTTTTTTGAATTTCAGTTTTCAGCAATCTGACTCTGCCCTCATATTGCAAAAAGCATCATGCTAGTTTATACATACTCACAATTGTGTGGCCTGTACAAGCGTCTCCCTCTAGCCTTTTATAAAACATAGTTCCTTTCCATTTCCCCCTTTAAAACAATTCAGTGTCATACTTACACAGTTCTCATTATATTAGTTTTATAGCGCTCGATCTTGTGTGATCACTTTTTTCTCTTGTGCTAAATATTGGTCTAACTGATTATTCCTCTGTGCGTGTTTTCCCTCCACTTCTTTAGTTGTTGAGAAACTCCTCCTCCTTTGTTTTATGAAATTGTTTATGATAATTTTTGCTTTCTCACAGCACAGGTCAACTGCACAGTGGCAATTGTTTGGACCACTGTGCCTATTCAGCTAGGGTGGAGACTCAGGAGGAACGTTTTCTCCTTATGCACTGCTTTTTCTGTCTGGCTGTAGTGTGACTGAGGTCTGTGGAGAACGGGAGTCACTGCCTAGCTCATCCGCACCATTAATCTCAACTTCTACCCAATGCTGAAACAAACAGGGAAGAGGTGGAGAATTAGCCAGCTCCTGCCTCCACCCGCCTCTCACCCTCCCTGGCTTCCTCCTACTCCAGTTAGAGGAGGCAGCAGAGGCCAGGGAGTGTGACACAGGCTATGGAGGGATGGTGATTGTGTGAGGCAGTGGTCATAATTGTGGTACTTGTCCAGCTCTATCTTACTGGAATTGCTTCAGTCCAACCTTTGTCTCCTGAGCTCTCTGACATCCTCTGGGTTAGGTCTCGAGTAGTGAGGCACATCTATTTTATCAGCCAACAAAACCATGTGAGAGTCAGAACACATACATGTTAGCCTTTGTTCTCCCACTTATTACATGTGGTATTGGGGGCAAGAAGAATGGGTTAAGTTGGTCACTGGATCACTGGGTGGTAACAAGTTAAGAATTAGCTAATTCCTAATGTGTAAAAGGTAGGCTTGGATTACATCAGAGTTTTTGAACTGGCACAAATGGAATAACCTAGGGCCCTTATTTAAAAATATAGATTTCAATATCTCTCCCTTGGAAATTCTTACTCAGAAAATCTGGAGTGAGGCCCAAATTTTATGTGTTTTTAACAAGACACCCTCAGTGTTTCTTATTGTCAGAAAAATGTCTGAAGATTTTTTTTAATTCCCCAAACCCTTAAACTGTATGATAAGTTATTTCTGCTATTGTTCTCTTTTGCCTATTGGGTTCTTCCTATTTAACACTGCTCTTCCTCCACTCTAGCGTTTAGGATCAGAATCAGCTGTGTAGGTTTTAGACATATGCATGCTATTTCCCAACTCCAACTAAAAACCACTGGCTAACAAATACTATCTGCTCTTCAATACTGTTGCTATAATGGAAATATATATTTTTTGCCTCTTCACATCCACTCTCCAACCCTCTCCACTTGCTCTTTGCTGAAGAAGGTGAACTTTTTAAAATTTTATTTTATATTTTAAGTTCCAGGATACATGTGCAGGATGTGCAGGTAAATGGTAACAGGTAAACGTGTGCCATTGTGGTTCACTGCACCCATCAACCCATCACCTAGATATTAAGCCCCACATGCATTAGCTGTTTATCTGATGCTCTCTGTCCCCCTGCCCCACTTAGAAGGCCCAGTGTGAGTTATTCACCTCCCTGTGTCTACGTGTTACTGGAGAAGGTGAACTTTAATGACTGCATTAAAGAGATTCTTTGCCCTCTGATTTCCAGTTGGGTTTAACCAAGGGGAGGCATCAACAGGGAAGTAGAGAAGGGGAGAAGGACAACATTGGAAGGAGGAACAACCCCTTTACCTCCTGATTACTTAAAGGATCACTGTATGTTAACTATGTCCCTCTGCTGCATCCCACAGCCTTGTCAAGGGCCCCTCCTTTAGTATTAGAAATGCTATTTCAGGGTTGCTTCAGGCCCAGGTTTGGCAATGGCCCCCACGCTGTTGCTAGCCCCAAGTTACTGTACTAGCCTTTGTAGATTGCCACTAACTCTTCCAAAGCCTGTGTAAATAGTACCTTTGTTAAACCTTTCCTCAATTACCCCGTTTGGAGTTGTCATCTCTTTGCTGCCAGGACTCAGATGAGGACAATGACTTACTTTATCTCTTTCATATGTGCTGTCTGTACACTGAGGGGCTTCTTATTTCTTATTTAAAATAATAAAATGATACGAATAGAAATAATAGGATTCTAGATATTGGAAGGGCTTTAAATTATGTCTACTCCAGCTTACCCCCAAATGCTAGACCCTGGCATGAAAGAAGTTTGCTTCTTCCTGCTTCATCATTACCCTTATTTTTTTTTTTTTTTTAGACGGGGTCTCGCTCTGTCACCAGGCTGGAGTGCTGTGGCACAATCTCTGCTCACTGCAACCTCTGCCTCCCCAGTTCAAGGGGTTCTCTTGCCTCAGCCTCCCGAGTAGCTGGGACTACAGGAGCACGCCACCACACCCAGCTGATTTTTTTTTTTTTTGTATTTTTAGTAGAGACGGGTTTTCACTATGTTGGCCAGGGTGGTCTCGATCTCCTGACCTCGTGATCTGCCCGCCTCGGCCTCCCAAAGTGCTGGGATTACAGGTGTGAGCCACCACACCCGGCCTTCACCATTACTTTTTATAAAGATCTGGTGTATTCAGGTTGTTACAGCTGTGGACCATTACAACTTCTCAAATATTTGCTGGCAATGAACGTTTTCTTCTCTCAGCTAAATGTTTTCAGTTCCTTCAACAATTCTTCATGTAGCGTAGTTTCTAGATCCTTCTTTATGTAGCCTTTGGATACATTCTTTTGAGTGCATTCTGTTTTGTCAATGTCATTGCTTCATTTTTAAAGAAATATTTGAAAAGTGAGCCAAATGTGAACCAGAGTCTCACCCAGCTGGAGAAGAAGCCAGTCCTCCCTAATTGGGATGAACTGAAGGCACTGGCTGTCAAATGGAGCAGCTCACTTGAAAGGCAAGGGTTAGCTTTGGCAGGAGAGAAAACAGGTGCCTGGGTGGAGGCAGGAGTTCCTGCTGAAGGAGGAAGCACACATTTCCACTGGGCCTCTTGGCACGTCATGGTTCCACTTTTGAATCTATACCTCAGTTTTTCTCTTGTACTTCTAATTTTCTGGTCAGAAGGTAACCTGATCATTCGTGCAAAATGGTTAACACAGGCCCTGTAGTAGTCACAAGTTTTTGAGTGCTGCACTCCTCTAAGACCACGAAGTCACAGAATTTATCACTACCATGAACCTTAGATTATCTGGTTCAGGAAAACTTGAAGGTAAAAAGGGTGAGATCTTTGCCCAAAATCATATTGCAATTTACTGGTAGAGACAGGATTAGAACCTGAATCTCTTGCTTCTCTATCATCCTGTCTCTCTCTTCGGTTAATTTACTCCATTCTTTTACCACAGATTTCAAAACTGAAATGAAGAAATTCATACTGTTAGTTCCAAAGCATCCAAGTCACACAGAGGCAGCATTTGAGTTGCACAATTGCCTTGAAAGTATTGGGAAAAGATAAGTATGAGCACATGACACTGACACAACTTCAGGGGTGAGGCAAACCATCATTTTATTTAGAGGGTCAACTGCCTATCCTTTGTATATGAGTCTAAACCTTATAGCATATAAATCTTTTCAGTTGACAGTTTAAAGGTTAGATTTACTACAGATGTGCACAAAGCAGTCAAGGTATGTAACTCCCGTGACTCCCATTTTAAGCCATTGGACAAAATAATTTCATTGAGGGAATGCTGTGGAAGGAAACCTTCCTCAACCAGAGTACCGAAAAGAAGGCTCACATTGTCAGAATTCCGAGTTTAAATCCCAGCTCCTCGCCAACTTAGAACTGTACAACTTAGAGCTGCATGAGACTTCTGGAATAACCTAGTTCAATCAAATTTAGACCCAGAAAGTATACAATTTACGAACTTACAGAATTCAAATCTTCATCCTATGCTGTTTTGTAAGCACTGCACTTATTTCCTGTATGACTGTGCCTTCTTTGTTTAATTGGTTCTCAGAACACAGCATCAGATATTTCCATGTAGCATTTAATACAACTTCAGCAACATTCAAGGTAAATATCTCCTTTATTCAATAAGAGGAGGTGGGGAGTGACATAAATGTAATCTTAAAGGTCTCCTATTAATCATAGTGAATGCCTAGCAAAAATAGATTTAAAGGGCTTACACATAAACAAAATGTAGAGAAATATTGATGACTTCTAACTAGCTGGTAGGAAAAGGTGGTTAAGTGTGAAATGCATCCACTATTTTGAGCTGTACTGCAAGAGAGATTCTGACAGTAAGAGAACTCTTAGTAGTAACTGATAGGAAATGACCTCGAAAGTCAACAAAACCACTTCCAATCAGCTGAATTTCAAGACTCCGGCAGATCATCAGGGCAAAAGTAACCAAAATTACAGCAGATGTCGTTGAGAGTGGCAGAACCTCTGGCACCTCAAATAATCCCAAACTGAGCGAGCTCATGCAATTCCAGGTGGCTGAATGCCTCCCACGGACAAATCACTGTGATATCTGCAAGAGATGGAAGAGTATGTAAGCCAACCTCACCCCAGAAAAAGTCTCTTCATAGAAAGATGCCCTTCAGGCAGAGACACTTCACTCCTCTCTCCTGCTCATTATCCCCTGACTGGGAAGTTACCTAGAGTGGTCCTGCGGCCTAGGAAGGATCAGACCAATTGCTTAATTGTTGCACCAGGCATCTCTGTTGGTTTCATTCTGCTTCCTCTTTGAGGGGGGTGGCGACCCACAGCCTTTGACTGAGGGGTTCCCTGGGGGGGTACAGCCCACTGATCACACAGAGTCTCCCCAAACCACAACCACTAAGGAGGAAGCAAAAGTGGAATTCTAGTCAGGCCAAGGGTTAAGATGAAAAAGAGGAACACTTTGAATCTCCATGGTCTAGGTATCCATAGTCTTCCCTACCAATCTAGATCAGTTTCTTCTCTAATTATTCTTCTCTTCCTTTACATTTTGAATTGCCTATATCCAATCACATATTGAAAAATGATCACAAGGCATCTTTTAATCCAGTTTCTTGTTTTAGAAAGTAAGATATTATTATCCTTCAGTTACAAAGAAGCTTGCTGACACCCAGAGAGATGAAATAATTAGCAAAAACCACATAGTTGTAGAGCTGAGACCAGAACCAGGTCAAAGACCTCAGACCTTCGCTCAGTATAAACCTCATTACGTTATTCCAAATATACTGTTAGAGTCAAGCACATCTTCCAGATCCCAAAGCAAATTTGCTGGTCTTGCATGCACCTTGCCAAAATACAGAAGCAGTTGATCTAGGAGAATAGCAAAATTGCTTTATAATGTGGCTGGAAAATTTATTCGAGATCCCAGGATTGGTATTTGGCTGCAGAAAGATACACTGAGGATTGCCTGGGAAGGACACTGATTACTACAAATGCTACCACTTATCAAAGGTGTGTTGGATGAGTTGAAAATATGTCCAGACAAAAGCCTGCGCATAAATATTTAGGGCCATTTTATCCATTGTTGGCAAAACTTGGAAGCAACCAAGGTATCTTTCAATAGGATAAAAAACTGTGTTTATCTCTACAATGGAGTATTATTCCATGATTTAAAAAACTGAGCTATCAAGCCATATAAAAACATGGAGGAACCTTAAATGAATATTGTTAAATGAAAGAAGCTAGTCCAGAAAAGCTATACACTGTATGATTCGAACTATATCACATTCTGGAAAAGGTAAAACTATACAGGCAGTAAGAAGATTAGTGGATGTCGAGGGTTTAGAGAGAGAGAGAAGGGTGACCTGGTGAAGCATAGGGAAGCAAAACTATTCTGTATAATACTATATGTACTACAGAATGTACTATAATGGTGGGTACATGGTATTTATCAAAACCCTTAGAACTTTACAACACAAAGGATAAAAACCCTAATACAAGCTATGGATTTTAATTAACATACTGCATCAATATTGGCTCATCAAATATAATCACACTAATACAAGATGTTAATAATAAAGGAAACTATGTAAAAGGGGAGAGAGGTGGTAGACAGGACATATAGGATCTGTACTTTCTGATGAATTTTTCTGTAAATCTTAAACTCCTCTAAGAAATAAAGTCTATTAATTTAAAAAAATATGGCAGGGCACGGTGGCTCAAGCCTGTAATCTCAGCACTTTGGGAGGCCGAGACGGGCGGATCACGAGGTCAGGAGATCCAGACCATCCTGGCTAACACGGTGAAACCCCGTCTCTACTAAAAAATACAAAAAACTAGCCGGGCGAGGTGGCGGGCGCCTGTAGTCCCAGCTACTCGGGAGGCTGAGGCCGGAGAATGGCGTGAATCCGGGAGGCGGAGCTTGCAGTGAGCCGAGATCCGGCCACTGCACTCCAGCCTGGGCAACAGAGCGAGACTCCGCCTCAAAGACAAACAAACAAAAAAATGTAGTGATTGCATTCATCGTATGATACATAAAAATCTGGTAGCCAATTTTTAAAAATATATTGATATATTGCAGGCATTCACTATTTAAGATCCTCCTCTGGGTACTAGAGGATGTGTAAAAAGAGGAAATTGGTAAGGAAGTTGTCTGCCTGGTAGAGTGGAGAGATCTCCAGACCTCACCCTTATTTCCAATAGTTCACTTGGTAGCCTCAGACAAAAGACTGTCAATTCCTCTATGTCTCAGATTTCTCTCCTGAAAAATGAAGTTTGGTTAGATGAATTAGGAGAATCTTTCTACCATAAACGCCTGTAATTTATCGTTGTATGCCCTCAAAGGTTGTTTGACAAAACAAGAAGGTTTATGAAATTTTGGGCCTACCCTGATTTCTTTTAGGGCTTTCGTATCTGGGCACACATGTACTTATTTCAGAGGGTAAATTAAATCCCCACATTTCTATGTCTTCACAGATCTTCTGCCTTGGGTATTTCTCATAACTTTCAACTGCCCCTTGAGGCCTGAAGCATATAAAAAGGCAGAACTCCAAGTGCAAATTTCTCACTTAAATCAGTGGATGGCTTACCTGTTCCTAGCCCCTCCATTCCTGGAATGTCATCTCCAAATCTATGGAAAAGAATACAAGGGAAATTAGCTGAGATCAGAGCAAAAGAATTTTGGAGTCCCTCACGTGGTGAGTTTCTTGATTCAAAGGGGAAGAAGGAGAGGTTTAATGTTTTTATTTGAGAGACTCCTTTTGTTTGCACTGAACTGGAGCAAAGAAAATGTCACTCAGGCAGATTTTGGTATTTCCCAGTGGAGAGATTTCTCTCCTGTAGGAACTTAAGCTAAAACAATTAAGGCCGGGCACGGTGGCTCACGCCTGTAATCCCAGCGCTTTGGGAGGCCGAGGCGGGCAGATCACGAGGTCAGCAGATCGAGACCATCCTGGCTAACACGGTGAAATCCCGTCTCTACTAAAAAATACAAAAAAAAAATTAGCCAGGCGTAGTGGCGGGCGCCTGTAGTCCCAGCTACTCGGGAGGCTGAGGCAGGAGAATCGCGAGAACCCGGGAGGCGGAGCTTGCAGTGAGCCAAGACCGAGCCACTGTACTCCAGCCTGGGCTACAGAGCGAGACTCCGTCTAAAAAATAAAACAAACAAACAAACAAACAAACAAAACAATTAAGAGTCAGAAAGAACTATCAGTGGGACAACTTAGTCAAATTTCGCTTTTTATAATAAAAATTGAAATGAGAAAGCAATACAAGAGGCATTAAAAATGATGAATTCATCCATTTGTTTACTTATTCAAAATCATTAACTAAGCATCCATTATATACCAGGCATTTTGTTAGGCACAGAGAGTTAAGAAAAAAACAGACAAATTTTCTGAGTGGTCTTAGTCTCGGAGAATAGATAAAAATAAATAAATATGAGATATGATAATGTAAGCTATGACAGCTGCATGTACAAAATGCAAACATGAAAGTAATGATAGCTTGTTAAAGAGAGTCAGTGGTAGCTTCAAAAAGAAATTAGTATATGAGCTGTGTGTTGAAAAATGAATAGGATTTAGCCAAGGAGAGGAAGAGGAAAATAAAGAACTGAGGATATAAAATTGGAAGACATAAATATAAGCTATATTTTCTGGAAATGGTCAGTGGTTCAGTGTTACAGATTAAAGCAGAGGTTATGTCAGTAAAGAGGAGTGGTCATAAAAAGCCTGGAAGGCAAAGTCAAAGTTTATTGTAAAAAGCCTCCATTTGCCATGTTAAATTCGGCCACAGACCTGGAAGTTGCGAAGGAAAGAATTCCAGCGATAAAGACACAATTCATCAAAGATGGAGTTAGAGAGGAAAAGAGAGGATGGGATGGATATTTTTGTAAGTCTGTTTAATATTGTGAGCACTAATTTCTCAAAACAAAAGCCGTCATGTGGGAAGAAAGAAAGTAATAGAAAGTTTTTCTTTTCATTTTGGTCTTACCCTTTCACACCTTTCTTTGGAGGTTTACTCTTGAATTGGCGAGTCTGCCTCTGCTTGAACTTGGGAGGGCCTTTGCGTGGGGTGGCAGGACCCTGGTTTGAAGCTGGAACAGCCAGAGCAGTGTTGTCACTCATTTTAACAGCCCCCAGGCAGCTAGCGTTTCCCTTTCAGCCTCCTTAGACAGTGAAAGATAAAAAAAGAAGATCTTTCAAGTCATGGGGACCATTGGTTATTAGATCTTTATTTTACATTGGAGAAGAAAAGTACTTCAAAAGGAAAGCTCAGTATTTTGTATTGATACAAAAGGGGAGCAGTTATCATCTTTAAAAGGGATCTTTAAGAAAACAGAGTATAAATCAATGCAGGCACTTAATGTAAAGGAATGTAAACTTACACGCTGCTATATTACTTACACAATTTATCAGTTATGTAAACAGACAATTGATACATTTTAAAACTCAAAAATCTAGGTGGATATCCTGTTCCCATAGATCTGCCACTGAAAAAAAATTTTTAAATAAATAAATTAAATTAAATTAAAGCTTCACATTAGGTCTAAAAATTTTTTTTTAAATAAATAAATAAAATAGTTTTGCCACAAGTGTTCTATGTGAATTTATTATGATGCTGTACTTCTCTATGACTACCAGTTCTACCCGTTATAAAGAGAGGAAAATGGACTCAGTGATATCTATAGTCTTTTATAGCACCTGCGATGTCTTTTTTTTTTTTTTTTTTTTGAGACGGAGTCTCGCTCTGTCACCCAGGCTGGAGTGCAGTGGTGCGATCTCGGCTCACTGCAAGCTCTGCCTCCCAGGTTCTCGCTATTCTCCTGCCTCAGCCTCCCAAGTAGCTGGGACTACAGGCACCCGCCACCACGCCCCTGGCTAATTTTTTGTATTTTTAGTAGAGACGGGATTTCACCGTGTTAGCCAGGATGGTCTCGATCTCCTGACCTCGTGATCCACCCGCCTCGACCTCCCAAAGTGCTGGGATTACAGGCGTGAGCCACCACACCTGGCCAGCACCTGCAATTTCTTTAAGCTTTACATTTCCATCCAGCTGTAAAATAACCTGATTCTAAATGTTTATTGAGCATTTTTTATGGCCTCTGTTTTTTTATAGTCCTTCAAGTCCTTATAGTCTAAGATAAGATTATTTTGTTTAATCCTCACATGAACCAGAAGCTTTTCTCTAGTTCTGGGAGATGACAATGTAGTTGTCTGGACAGGAGGACCTCTGGAGCAGGGATACCAACACTCATGAATATATTCAACACATCTTAAAACACACACACATAGAGAAGTTAATGAAGGATGATTACGTAATGTATTTGTGCTTCAACTCTACATCCAGACATAAGGTTCTTCAGCCCCCATGGTTCACAAATCTTTGATGTTTTCTTCTATCCACACCATGGACCTATCCAATATGGCGTTCTCAGACTTTAATTTGGCTACAGAAATGCCCATTGCCATTCTTCAAATACAAATCAAAGAAAATTATTGAAAAAGATAAATTTAAACAATGTGTCATTTTGGATGACATTATTTTCTTTCTTCTTTTCTTTCATAAGAGTTAACAAAACTTGCCCTTGGAAGGAAGATCCCGAAAAGCCCCAAAGAAATCCACATTGCTTTCACCTCTTATCCTGAGCCCATCTCTTCCATAAAATCTGGTGTGTGTGGGCTTTGTCTCCGTAAGATTCCTTATTTCACCCATTACAGATTTATGCTAATATTTTTTTTTTTTTTTAAGAGAGACAAGTTCTTGTTCCATCAGCCAGGTTGTAGTGCAGTGGTGCAATCTCAATCATAGCTCACTACAGCCTCAAACTCCTGGGCTCAACTGATCCTCCTGCCTCAGCCTCCCAAAGTGCTAGGTTTACAGGCATAACTCATCACACCAGCCTATGTTAATATTATTAACTGCAGACCTCCCTGACAGTCTTTGGCTCATGCTAACAATGACTGTCTTTACTGGCCACACTGCATATCCCCCAAACCTCATATTCTATAACTTCCAGTTCATACTGTTTTCTTATTTCTTTCAAAATTGGGTTGCAATTATTATCCTCACCTCCAAGATTTTTCTCATATTTAAATTCTGATTATTAGTAAATTATTATCCTTGCCAGTAGCAGGGATGGTGAGATTGGCCAGGACCCTGGACCACCTGCTCATGCTGTGATTCCTTCTGCTGTCCCCTACTGGACTAGCTTCATGAGGCTGCCCTTCCAGTCTCAGAACCTACAACAGTGCATGGTGTCTAGTAATTATGCCATATATATTATATTTGTCAAATGAGTTAATAAATTAATCTAGAAATTGAACAGGCCAGGCACCTGTAATCCCAGCACTTTGGGAGGGCAAGGCGGGCAAATCACGAGGTCAGGAGATCGAGACCATCCTGGCTAACATGGTGAAAACCCGTCTCTACTAAAAACACAAAAAAGTAGCCAGGCGAGGTGGCGGGCGCCTGTAGTCCCAGCTACTCAAGAGGCTGAGGCAGGAGAATGGCGTGAACCCGGGAGGCAGAGCTTGCAGTGAGCTGAGATTGCACCACTGCACTCCAGCCTGGGCGACGGGGCGAGACTCCGTCTCAAGAGAAGGAAAAAAAGAAAAAAAAGAAAAAGAAAGAAACTGAACAAATACCGTAAACCTTAAGTCATGAGGTCCTGACCCTTTGACTTCTCCATCAGAGCACAAAGAACTCATTAGCTTTCAGGCTTTAGGAAATGCACTGCCAGTTCCTCTGCTCACTAAACTCAGTTCCCTTTCTGTGGGCCCTCTCTACCCCTGGTCGACAGGCAAACTTTGTGCTTGTCCCAAGTGTGGTTGGGACCCTGGGAATCGCTGGTGAGCAGCCAAGATCAGCGCTGTGCTGAGTGGACCACCAGTAACTGACACATCCCAGCTCTGCCAGAGTCACAGAGGGCAGCTCTCAGATCAAGGTTTTTGAACTGCCCAGGATTTTCAAGGTAGAAGAAATCAAAAGTTTCTTTTCTCTCATCTGAAGAACCTATTAGGGTCAGAATTGCCAGATTCAGCAAAAAAATAAAAAATAAAAAAATACAAGGCACCCAGTTCAATTTGAATTTCAAAGAAATAATTATTTTTAGTAAAGTATATCTCAGCCGTTTCATGGTACGTATTTATACTTTAGAAAGTCATTTTTCTCTGGAACTCAAATTTAACTGGCACCCTCCATTTTATCTGGCAGCCCTAATAAGATCAAATTATTTTGGATCCAGAGTTCTATAATGTAAGGGCCTAAAGCGACCCTCATTGGTCAAATTGCCCTTTGATGGTGACATGGTAGAGAGTACACTCTTTAGAATCAAATTGATAGAGTTTTAAGTTCCTACTCCATAGAACTGGCTATGTGACTTAGGAGAAATTTCATATTCCCCTGGGGGTCTTATTCCATCTATAAAATGAATCAAATCATACCTTCCTTTTAGGGTTATGGGGAAATTTTAGGAAGACAATATGAGTAGAGTGGTACAAAATGTTAAAAAAGAGCAAACATATGCTAGACCTTGTGAGAGAAAAGAAAGCCATGCAAACAAATCTGTGGTTATGACGCTTGCTCACCCGGACTCTGCACCTCCTTCCTCTGGGCCAACCACTGAAGAGCGCTTGCCATACACCAGAGGGGCAATTGTCTTCCGCCCTTGCTGGGTAATCCTCTGCTTCCTTCAAACACCCCAACTGTTAACTTATTTCTGGTCTTAAAATGCTGTTTTAAGAAGCTTTCCTTGAATTCCTTTGACACCCCTAACAGCAACCCCAAAGACTTTAAAAATCACATGTGACATCCATATTCCCCTGGTGATACATCCCCTTTTTTATTGCAGGTTTCTTCTACATGTTTACGTAATTTTGAAGTTACACCTCTAGGCTTAGACAGTGTTCATGTCAGAGTTTGATGCATTATATGAAAGAAGCCTTCTCAGAAAGAGTTACATAACAGTTGCCAGGTTAATCCCTTGATCCTAATGGTGCTCAGGATTTGCACTAGGTAACCAGAACAGTCGACTAATCCCTCTGCAGTTTCTGTCATAGATTTACCCTCCAATTCTCTCTGCAAAACCTTTAGGAAGGGTAGAACACTTCTGACCTTTCCCTGCATTGGAAGCCAGTCCTGTTTGCCCATAAACATCACCAAAGGCTAACCTCATCCTGACCACACTTTTCTAGAAATTCCAAGGGCATCTGGAGCTGAGTAACCCTAAATGTATTATCAGACTTGATTTTAGCTGAAAGAAGTTTCACATTTTTTTCCTCCAAAAGCATCAAGCAATTTATTCTTTTGTGAGGCAGAATATTTTCCTGTTTTTAAAGCAATGTTAGCCCTTCCCCTTTTGAAGATTACAAACTGTTTCTCTGCAGAAATAAGTGGATGCGGCAAAGTAATATTTCAAGGCATACTTTTGTAGGGGACTGGGGTTAGGGTCACCTTAACAAAATTAAAGATTTGTATAAAGCAAAAAATCATCTTGTGTTGCTTTATACAGCAAAGCCCAGCTGTATATAGTGACAGGGGATGATCCTCTGAAAAGCAGTTTTAGAAGGTTCCTGAGACAGTCTCTCTGATGCTGCTGTTACCACCTTACCCTTCCAATTCTCTGTTTCTCAGCAAAGATATAGACAAATAGACAAGTCCATTCCTGGTGGACTAAGGAAGAGGCTGGAAGGAGCTAGAAAGGGAAGTACTGTTGGGGTTGAGCCAATAAATATCACCCAGGGTCCTGCTGAGGCAGAGAAAATCAATAATTTGAAAAGCAAAGCAAGACCCAAATCAAAGCCATAAAAAAAAAATTACCAAAAATCCAGCCCACACCCTGCTTCAGAATGGAACAAACAAACACTTTGACCTCAAAGGGAGAAGGCTCAGCCACCTGCACTGCCCTGCGGTCATTCTCACGCTCGCTCTCCGCTCCCCTTCTCCTTTTCCTCACACTCACACCAGCCCACCAGTGCCTGGGCCAAGTTTGTAAGCACATCCTTGGAGTAAAGAACTGTTTTCTCTGTGGTTATTTAGTGCCACAGATCCCTCCGTCTTCACAATACTGTTTGCTATGAAGCTGCAAACAGGGAGGTCACTATTGGGCTCCTTCTAAATGAATTCAGTAATCAAGTTTTGCAGTGACCTTGTAATAGTCAACTTTCA